AACGCGCGCGCTGGAGATGCGCTAAATACCTAAAGCGTCAGTATAAGAGCGCCTTAAATTCCTGTCTTTCAAATAAATCCTACCTAACCCGTCATGTTCTACTGATTTACTGTTTCCAATTTGTGATTTTATCTGTTTCCAAAAATCAATGAATATTAAAAGAAGAGATTTAAAGGCAAAGCGCACCGGCTGCTTATAAATTTGAAGCGTCAGTTACAAACTGCAAACCGAAAAGGTTGCAGGATCGATCTGCTATTCGACTACTGTCGTGAACCACTCCTTTTGAGCTTACCAGGAGTGGTTACAGGGGTTATTAGCTTATTAGTAATGTTAATATCATTGCACGTATTAAAAAAATGGAGATTACGACGTCTAAAAGAGATAGGTCAGATGTATTTTCCAATTGGTTAAGACGTATGAAAAGGTTTTTTTTTTTATATAGGATAGGGTGACAAACGAGCACACAGTCCACCTGATGGTAAGTGGTTGCTGTGGCCCATAGACATCTACATCTATTCTCGATTATTCTCGATTATTTAGTAGTCATTGTTTGATTGATTGTTTAGTGTCACCCGTGAGGACTAAGATGGAATGCCCCATTTCCAGTAAAAAGGTTTCCGGTTCTCCACACTCACCATACGAAACACAGCAACATTAATTTACTATTTTACGCTGGTATTCTGTGAGAGCGTGGTCCTTCCCCGGTCGAGCCGACCCATTCGTGCTACAACTATACTACTGATACAACTGCAGCATGGCTCTACCACGTATAAAGCTGTATATGTGAAAAGATCGATACTAGTATTAGATCGATGATTATACTGGATGACCTGTATTACCGTCTGAAAAAAAATAGGGTGTAACATGTGAACAGAGTAGGAGCCTATGGCACTGATATTTTACAAAAACAAAAACGAAAATTTTGAATTAAACGCTTGAAAAATGTTTTTTGAACAATAACTTTGCCCTTTGCCCTTGAGCCTGTGACTCTGCAAAGTGAAAAGGTCAAAGATGCCCACTAAACTTATTGTTTTATTGCTTTTCGTAAAGTAGGGTGGATACGATTTGTATTTTGATATATTTTAATTAATTAATTAATTTAATTTAAAATGTTTGTATTTATTTTTCGTAAAATATCAGTGCCAAAAGGTCAACCAGTATATAATAACAATTACTATCATAATTTTTGAGTATCTAGTGTTTTGGTATATCTCGTGACAGTCTGCGTTTGTCGTATTTGAATATATTTTTCGCTAACAGTTTTTTTGTATCTTCAGAGCCTTGTTTGGGATCCGGGAATTTAAGGAGGAAAACGTTAAGATCACTAAAAATACACTAAATGATCTCATCTCATCGGTACAAATTTATAAATAAGTGCGTAGTAAAGTTAAGTTACAGCCTTTAAACGTCCCACTACTGGGCACAGGTCTCTTGTCATATTTGTGAGGGATTTAGGGCAAGGAAGTTTCCGTCGCGATGCTCCAATGTTGTTACGCGTATTGACTTCATATCTCTTGAATATTTTTTTAATTTCTCAGACATGCACGTTTCCTCACGATATTTTCACCGCCGAACACGTCGTAAGCCAGCACTTGAAATTGCATTTAACAATTTCATTGGTGCTGGCGGGGATCGAACCCGGTAGCTTGCACACTGTAAAATCTACAGCGAGTGCTTAGCCCTGAGCTAACACGGCTCCCGAAAGAATTATTTATGCATAAATAATTATTGAGATAGAAAAAATTGTAATGTACCACGTTTTTATATTCTTACATTGTCATCCTATTTTGAGTTAGGTATGTTAAAAATTTCACATCTATCTCATCGGGAAGTTAGTTTAAAATCAATTACTAAATACCTACGACCCGAACAGACTTACTACACGAAAAAGAGGTAATAAAAAAATTGTAAAAATAATATTTTGCCTCTGTCGTTGAAGGGCTATATTCACAAACTGTTTTATGACTCTTGATTTAGGGCAGTCTTATTTGGCGTAATAATTCGTTTACCCCAACTGTCATTCGTTATGTTACATGAAGGTCGTAAGTTTTCGTAACTAAGTACTTTCGTATCGTAAATTTGTAAAGCAAATATAATGTAATTTATTACGGCCCATATTTCACAGAGGTTTGTTTTGATTAATGAAGTAAGTAGAAGTACGCTTGTAAAAACAAAATAAACTGACCTTGAGGTTATGGGGGAAGAGAATTCAGCAATCCATTTCGTCCCGTGGATGTCGTAAAAAGCGACTGTGTGACGTACCCGAAATATATTATAATGGTTTCCGATAGATGGCGGTATAACCATCTTATTTAGCCAGACGTAAAATACAAAGCAACGTTAAATTTGCAAGCCGTCGGTATTGCAATCACAAACGTTGTTCGTTTGTAAAAAGGAAAAAGTGACCGTGTGGTGGTGACAAAAGATAATTCAACAACCCATTTCGTCTCGTGGGTGTCGTAAGAGGTGACTTTGAGACATACCAGAAAGATACTATAATGGTTTCCGATAGATGGCGGTATAACCATCTTATTCAGCTAGATGTAAAATATCCAGCAACATCCAAGGTGCGAGCCATCTGGTACTGTAATTGTAAAGCCACCTACAAGACGTAAAAAGCAAATCTTTCCAACAATGTGGGAGGTCCTTATCTAGCATTATATTTTTAAGGTAAAAAGATGAAGAAATAACAAAAATATACCACGGATGGTTCGATAATATATATTTTTTTATTGTAATTGTTTTGTAATTGTATATGTTTGGTTAGAATAGGGTTTTAAAGTATATTTTTTACTTCTTCTTCACCTGTAAATGCGATACTACACGGTTCATTTTTACTTTTCATTTACAATGATTAATTTCAAATGAAAAAAGGTTTCAAGGTTTGTTTCGTATGGTGAGTGTAGGAAAACCATTCAGCTCCAATGACTTACTTTGGCATCGCTCAATATTTAACAAAAATGAATAGTGGAATGAAACTGTTATCGATAACCAAATCCAGATTGTCTTTTAAAAAACTTTATTATATTCTCTAATACATACGATTTATTACTTTTACGTCGACATATTTCTGATATATAGTGTTTGTGTAATATTTTTTCTGACATTTAGTATTGATAGTACCCGGATGACCGAGCTTTGCTCGGTTTTTTTGAAATTATATTTAGATACAAATTACATACTGGTGAATAATATTTTTTGATCTTATTGACATAATAGAAAAAAACTGAACTGGTTATTTGAATAAAAATCATGAGTGCAATTAGTTTAATTAAAATTGTCCTGTTTTAAAAAAATACTAAAAAAGGGCTCGAAATAATAGATTTTCTCACAAAAGAAGGGAACTTGAAAAAAAGGGAAAAAAATCGGACCGAAGGCAGGACTCGAACCAAGGCATTACGATTTCGCGACCGCTCGATATCCACTTAAGCTATTACGGTGATAATTACGGCATCAAAATTTACCTTCTTATATTGTAGTAGTTTTTCATTGCCTGAAAACACGGACAAAAAGACATTTTCTAAAAACAAATCCTAGCTAGATCGATTTACTGCCTCCGAAACTCCCTGAACACTAAATTTTATGAAAATCGTTGGAGCCGTTTCCGAGATTCCGATTATATATATGCATATATATCATCATCATCATCATCATCATCATCATCATCATCATCATTACAGCCCTTCACAAGTCCACTGCTGAAAATAGGCCTCCCCCAAGTAACGCCACAAAGCACGGTCCTGAGCCACCTGCATCCATCGACTTCCTGAATGTCTTACCAGGTCGTCACTCCATCTAGTGGGGGGGGGGGGGCGCCCTACACTACGCCTACCGGTACGAGGCTGCCACTCGAGAACCTTTCTTCCCCATCGGTTATCGGTTCTTCGAGCTATATGGCTGGCCCATTGCCACTTCAGCTTAAATCCGTTCGGCACGGAGCTCCGAGCATAGCCCTCTCCATAGCTCGCTGAGCGACTTTGAGCGTCCTCATACGGCCAGCGGTGAAGGACCATATATATATATATATATATATATATATATATATATATATATATAATAAATAAGAAATAAACAAAAGTTAGATTGACAAACAAAAAGAGTGTGTATCGGTCAACACAAATGCACTTTGACCAGTAATAGTTCCTTTATACGACCTGTCTAAAATAGTGCGCACAAGATAACTTATCTTTATCTTAACTTATCCTTATCGTATCGGTGTAATGTGTGACTCCTTAAAACGTTGCAACATTGGCCATAGTTGCTACGCTTGGCTGCCGTGTTGGCAACCGTAGTTTTTTTAATCTCTAGTTGTTATTGGAAAGACACCGCCGCCAATGTCCTGGTTTGTTTCTCACGAGAAAAGCATTTTCCAAATGAAAAAAGTTATTGTAATAACTTGTTTCATTTTCACGTTTATAAGTAAATATAAAACCTTACGATGTTGTATAACATGGCTTAAAAACCTCTTAGAATACGAGGCGGCCTGAGCTACTACTTTACTAAATAAAGACTAATTTATTTCAATTTATTTTTGACCGCCTCGTTGGTCTAGCGGTTGTAGTAGTGTGACTGCTGATCATGAGCTCCTGGGTTCAAATCCCAGGTTGGGCCAAAAATTCAATTATTGAGTTTTTCTGTCAAGAAATTCTCAGTAGCTGCCGCGAGTCAGGAAGTTGGCGGTGTCTCACCCCCGTGCCTCGGAAAACACGTAAGAGCCGTTGGTCTCGCGCCTGCTTTCTCCGGTCGTGTCGGTTTACCATCCCATCGGATTATGAGAGTGAGGGAATAGAGTGTGCACTTGTGCTTACGCATACACTTGGGCACTATAATCCTGTCCTGCACCGTTGGCTAGCCTCTGTTGAGGTAGGCCGCCGTGGCCGAAATTCGGTCTGGAGGACATTATTATTATTATTTTAATTTAAATGTCTTTAGAGTAGTGAATTAAACAAATTTCAAGTGAAATAAAGGGCTTTAACTTAAAGATGGAAGGAATTAAATACCTGGTCCTCCGGAGCGGAGCAGCTGGCCCCATCTCCTGGAAGCCTTTCGCCCTCGGGAGCGGGAGCGCCGTCGCCTTCTTCCTCCCTCACAACTTCGCAGCAGCCCTTAGAAATATCAACAGCATGAACACACTTTGCATAAGCTGTTATATGTTATCAAAAAATGTTTATATTTATAGGATGTTTGTAGCAGATTTTCGATCATAGCTAGGACTTTTAAAAATCGGAACTACACCGGAGATATAATAGTCTTTGTGGATATTATTCTTCCCACTTTCGTTGACCAAATCCTGCGCTTCACTGCTCAGTGGGTGGTTAACCAAGATGACTTCTACAATCGTTAACGTTAATTTTAATAATTTATTTTTAATATTAATAGAAAACTTAAACTCCCCCGAAACAATAAGAACTAAACCTCCGGCTTTAGAATCTGTTTTATGGGAATAATTATTCTTTTTAGGCCTTGTTTATAGTTTAGCTGTGCTTCGATAGACTGATCGACGATAGATAGTGACGTCATGGCGCTATCGGCAAACCTGCGCGCGGGTTATATGCGTAGCACAGAGGCACACGATTGTCCTACACAAGTCTTGTTATCTTGTTATGCTGAGCGTAGACTCTCTTTTTGCATTACACTTCAACGCATGTTATGAATATTACTTTAATGAAAAAAAAAAATTCTAAGTTTGTTCTTTATAGTTATAATTTTTATGTAACTTAAACTCTATCAATATAATGTGTTGCTTGTAGCAAATCCAAAATGTATATATTTTGCATGTTAGTTTTGTATGTTAGTTATGTTTTGCATGTTTGAGAGTACACTTCCACTACACTCCACTGCTGGGCGCAGGCCTCCTCTCATTTCTGTAAGGGTTTTTAGGGCAGCAATAAGTCGCAGTGCTGCTCCAATGCATATTGGTAGACTTTACATGGGTATATTAGATGCTAGTTAACTGTTACAGTTAAAAGCCCGACTATGATCGTTCTTTTTTATAGACTAAGGGTGACAAACAAGCACTAAGTCCACCTTATGTTAAGCGCATGCTATGGTCCAAAGACATATTCCTCTATCCTAAGTTAAGAATCAAGATGCAGATTTTATACGTGGTGGAGCCATGCTGCAGTTATATTAGTAGTGTAGTTATAGCACGAATGGGTCGGCTCGACCAGGGAATGACCACGCTCTCACAGAATACAAGCGTAAAATAATAGCTTAAGGGGATAGAGTAAGTCAGCTCAAATTCTAATTTCATCCACACTTGCACGCGCGTCGTATGCTATGTACCGACATGTTTGTAATCACTAATACTGTAAGTAGAAAGGTCGTTAGACACTTATTTCATTAGGTTTTTCATATTTATGCCTGTTTCTTAACGCCAAGCCAGTCGCATATTATTTTTATTACGGTTATTTCCCATTTTAATTTTACGTCGTCCTGTTGCGTAATGTATATTCTGATCGTAAGCGACAACCTCCCCGTTCAAAGGCCGAAGCGAAGTGACCGTGCGGCAGGAACCAGGAATCACGCTTAAAAAGGCCGATAGTTTAGGTAATTTCTTTTTACAGTGAAAATATTGGTATTTTAAAAAAAGTAAATAACATAAGCACTGCTTTATAGTTAGTTCAGTTAGTATGCAAAGTTTCATGATCTTATTTAAAGTATTTTATGAATAACAGCGGTTTATTGTTTATTTTGGAGGTAACTTTGGATTTTTTTTTCTATCGCGAAAATTTTACGAAATCATGTTTTCGTCTAACATAATCCTTAAGGCGCTCTTATACTGACGCTTTAGGTATTTAGCGCATCTCCAGCGCGCGCGTAATAAACAACGCAAACACCCCAAAAAAATGAACTCACTTGATCCCGGCACCGTGCTACTACAGATCACAGTACAAAATAGTTCGCAGTAGGACCACTTCTTATGATTTGAACTGTTTTTAGTTTGTATTGAGTAGTTACAAATTACTTCTTTAGTTAATATTTTGTATGATGTTGTATTAAATTTATACGTATATTGGTTTTTTTACCGATTTCGATTATTTCAGAAAAAAACTTCGTATAAAATGTTAAATTAAATTTCTTTTTAATAATTTTATGTAAGTTTTACAAATGCGTAAGTATCCAAAGTTAAATAATTACAATAATGATCTAAAACTACTCTTAACCAATCAATCAACTATGAAACAATTTCTAAAACTCTTCCATACTGAGTTGGTGAATCCTTTCAAAATTTTTGTCAGGCTCGTTAGACGTTTGATGGTCAGTCCTGAATAAATCAGGTCTGTTATTTTCTTTGTCTGGTACATCAATTACAGACATGGAGTCACATTCCAGTTTTAGATCTCGGATCGCCATCCCACGTGCATATCTGCTGTTAACAATTTTTGTGAGTAAGCAATTTTTATAAAAAAAGTACTAACTTTGGCTCCATAGTTTTCCGAAAATCATCATCTTTTTCAATATATTTTGTGAAAATTGTTTCATTGTCACCTGACCAAATTCCTAATAAACAAACTTTCCTACCCGTAACAAGCAGCTGGCCCTGAATTTGGTAGTGCTAGTTACTAGGTAGTCTTCTTGTTTACGGTCACTGTGCCTGATTTTTTGTCGTATTTGAGAATTTGAATTTTGTTTTCCCTAATTGAATTTTCAAGAAAAGAAGAATTTTTTAGAAGCTGTAATGGGACACTTTATCTCGACTAGCATATCATCTCCTACCAGTCCGTCCGGAGTTGCACCGATACGTGGATGAATTTGATCGATAAATAATCCAAACAATTAATTATGACAAGCTTTTTTATTGTAAATCTTCTAAGAGGTAATTAATATCAATGAATCGCCGTCCTAGAACATGCTGAAATTCTTCATTGCTTTTTTTAGGCTCAATAGCGTATGAACCGTTATTGTCTTCAGTTGGCCTGAAAAATAAATTCAGGGAAAAAATAGATAAATTAAAATTGTAGATGAACCCCCCTTGGGTTCATCTACCCGTGAAACTGAACAACTTTCCTAAAGAAACCCATATCGGAATCAGAAAAAAAATCGATCTCCCAAATGATGATATGTTACTTGAAATGAAAATATGTTACTTGACTGACAATTTGTATAGCAGAACGATTTTTTTTTAAATTTCGATATTTCTTCTTTATTTTTAAATAGCTACTTACACATAATTAGTTATATTATGTACATTGGAATTCAGTGTAGTTGTGCTACTGCTGGGCAAATTACTCTGTTGTCTGAAAAATACATTGTCCAATTATTAAAACAGCACTTGTCAGCAAGTAATGAGAGAAACTATAAGGCCTATAAAGCCTATTAAACTATAAAGCTGGCTGACAGTGGTGCGAACAATGGATTTCCATTGTCCGCGCCACTGTCACTAATCACGCCAATATTATAAATGGGAGAGTTTGGATGTTTGTTTGTTACCTAATATCCTTCAAAACCGCTGCACCGAATTGGATGTTCACAGATAGTATATGACCAGGATTAACTAATAGGTACTTTTAATAAATTTTATAATATTAACTAATTAGGTACTTTTTACCGGTGTTTATAAAATACATGTGCAGGATGTGGCGAAGATCAATTATTTTATATACCTAATGTATAATATGTAGATGAGTAAAATAATAATTTGTATTTAAATGTCATTTTTCACTAACACACTTTTCATTGAGGTTTTTTTGTGATCTAAATATGCCTTTGGTCCGTGGTGCTTTTGCACCGAAAACAAAAAAAGGTCACAATTGCTACATTCAGTGGTCTTACTGTTATACTTATACTGTGACATATAAAGTAAAAATAAAACTATTGTTTTTACGTGAAGTTGCATTTCTTAATTTATTTGTTTTTATTAAAAAGTGAAAATAAATCGACAGGTATTCATTCATACTAACATTAATGTTTTTTTATATAAAACTTTAATCTTAAGCTTACTCGCGATCAATATTTTCGAGATCGGAACGGCGGTGCGCGCGAAAATTAGACACAGGACCTGCTTCGGCAAGGCCCGGCGGGCGACTAGCGTGAGCAGATCTTGCATTTGATTATATATTATTTAGATTTATAAAAAGTAAATAACAATTTTAAAAAAACGAACCGCAGAATTGTTTGTTAAAAATATGCTTGGATATTGTAGTTTAATTTTTATAGTAATTTACGTGGTATTTCGAAAATGAAACAAAATAATAAAACTCAAAAGACTAAAGTTTAGATAAAATTTCTATCGAAAATTTTTTTGAAATATAATGTTTTCAACCGCAGATTCGTAAACCTCATATCCTTAAATTTGTTATGTATTTTTTTTGGGTCTTGGAAACTTTATTAGAGTCCATGAAATTGTTTTGAATATCAGTAATTTACTAATAACCGGGCCTTAACATTAATTCTCAACTTTACTATATATTTATTTCAAAATTAATGCTGCAATATTTTCGGTATAACGAAGGATCTTGCTAAGCCATTTGAGATTATATTTCCCCTTAATGCTGTTGTGTTTCGGCATTCCATCTTAGTCCTCACGGGTGACAGCGCATCTGCATTTTGATTTGTAATTCGAGGATGGATGTGGATGTCTATGGGCCGCAGTAACCACTTGCCATCGGGTGGACTGTGTGCTCGTTTGTCACCCTAAAAAAAGATGCGTTGTCACCCCTGAGGACTAAGATGGAATGCCTTGATGCCAGGGACACGCACCATACGAAACACGGTAGGATTGAAAATTTACGCTATATTACGCTAGTATTCTGTGAGAGCGTGGTCTTTCGTACTGAAGATATACTCATGTAGGAAAGCAACATAGTGCTGCTATTATGTATGCGACTGTTGAAAACCAATGACTGTTTTATTGCTGACGACGTTCCATATTAGTTCTCAGGGGTAAAAATACATTTGCATTTTGATTTTTAATTCAGCACATATGTAAGTTTCTATGGGCAACACTGTCTATTTACCATCAGGTGGACTGCATGCTTGTTTGTGTCTAAAAAAATATTTGAACACCCGCTGCTGATTTCAATCATTAAAGCCATAGAGGATTTATTATGTTCATCGGGACTGCCTCATTAGTTTGGTGGTTGTAGTAGTGTAACTGCTGATC